TGTTTTAAACCCTTCCCACATTCTTGCAACATTCTAAACAATGTTTCTAAATGCTCTAAAAGAGCACAGCATGCCATGAACTCAGCTCTCTGCCTCTTCTGTACTTTGCCACCTGCAAGCGCTCTCGGCCACGTGCACTTCTCCACTCTACATGGAGATCGCTTGCATCTGCAGGAGAAAGCTTATTTTGAAAAACCAGGATGGAGCGAGTCCACGAAAAATGAACCACGACATAGTGAGGGACTACTGTGACTACTATATGTTCCTGTTTTTAGTTTTCTACATTTGTCTTGGAATCTAGCTGTTTTTTTTTTGTTTTTTTTGTTACCTTGTTACCTTTTAGCCATCCTATTTGTTAAAAAAAAACAAAAAAAAAAACTTTAGTATGTTTTTTTTATAACTGTTTATTGTTGTTGCTGTTGTCCATTGTTTCATCTTTCTTTGTTAAATCAGGTCTCTCTTGTAAATGAGTCCTCGAGGCTCAATGGGATTTACCTGTAGAAATAAAGGTTGATTGATTGTAATTTCAATTTCAATTCAATTCAGTTTATTTATAAAGTGCCAAGTCACAACAGAAGTTGTCTCAGGACAAGAACAGAAACATTAATATATAACAAAATGAAAAGTTAACAAATTAATAAGTTCATAAGTTTTAGAGCATCAATGGTACACTGTCCTGAACCTTACCCTTGTGAAATTGCTTCAATGCCAAAGACTTTTTTTTTTATCTGACACAACTCTTTTGCAAACACAACCAACTTTAGCACATTTGTAAAACTCTGAGTTTTCAGTGTTTTTATGTCTTCTCATGTCAGTCAGCTGTGGCAGCCATCTTGAACTGTGTTGTCTCTAAAAGACAATCAGTTGTTGATTAACACACAGTGATTATTTAAAAAATACATTTTGATTGGTCTAGTTGTTCATGAGATATTTTACTAACAGTCTGAAATGGTATTCTAAACAAAGGTCTTGTGTGATCTGTTAGCTTTCAAAGTAAATGTTAAAATGACTCTCAGCTACTACCACACCAGATTTACCTCCATTTCTGTAACACCTGGCTGAGTTTGAGCCTTTATTTGTTTCTTCAACTTGATTATATCCACAGCTGAATCACACAGATGGGCCTTCAGTGGTTCTTTTCTGATAGGTTCGGTAAAATCTGTGTTATGGCTCATGAGATATTTTGCTAACAGAGACACAAGCACTGGTAACAAGCTCTATGTTGTTCTTCCCTGTCAGGAGCCCAAGTTTAGCTTGTTTCCTCTCCAACAACTGTTGGTCATCAATCAATCAATCAATCAATCAATCAATCAATAATAAGTTGCTTCTTCATTTTCTGATAAAGACAAAGATGAGAGTTTAAGGAAGAACATGAATACATTTTAGTTAGTGAGCTGATAGGAAAAGTAATTAGTAACATCTTTGATAATCAATTCATTACAACAGCAATAAGCCCAACATGTTCAGCTGCAGCGTTTTCTTGTGATAACTGGCTTGTCTTTGGTTTGTGTTGGCAGTTTAATTTACATTTCTTTCAGGATTCTCCAGTAATTAGACCCATCCAGGACTCATTTAGAGTAGATGTATGTGTTTTTCTCCTGCAGTCTTGAGGAAAATGAACAGATAAAGCTGAACGTTCTGCTCTGAGCTCGTGTCTTTCTGCTCTTCCTCCCAGGTGTCTGCCCAACCTGTGTGAACACGGCGCTCGTTGCTCGCAGACCTGGACCACCTTCTCCTGTGACTGCTCAGGAACCGGATACTCCGGAGCCACGTGTCACAACTGTGAGCACTTTCATTTCTCCTCTCCCGTCTAAAGCTGCCATTACACCCCGTTCCTTTCAGGTCACGTCCAGCTCAGCGGAGCCGCCTGTCACTTGGAGCTGCCTTCCATCTGTGAGCTGAGAGGCGAAGCAGAAAGTGGTCCTGCTGATGTGACCTCACGCTCACATAGACATTTCTCTGTTCCTGCCGGATTCGTGAGGAGGTGTGGGGGGAGGGGGGGGGTCCTTCAAGGTGTCACTTTTTGACATTGTCTTGATGTATGTGGTGGAGTGTTGAAACACCCTGCACCCCCCCCCCCCCCCCCCCCCCCCCCCCCCCCCCCGCCCCCCCCCCC